CCTTTGTTTAATGAAGTTAACCATTTTGTAGCATCTTCCAGAACTTTTTTATTTTATCCCAAGAGTTTTTGACACCATAGTACATGGATGCCTTCTGAGTCAGTTCAGGTCCCCAGAGAAACATGTCAACTTAAGATTCGATGTGCAGAAAGCCCCCCATCCAGAGTTGGCTATTGTAGTATTATCACCACGTTCAGTCATTTGCTGGGCGAAGCCTAGAGGAAGCATGGCAAAGTGTGAATGTTGCAGTGGATTCCAAGGTGAGGGAGCTGGGGCCTGTCAAGCAGCTCTGCCCCTCAGCAGGTTCTGTCAAAGGGATATTGAGCAGGACACTATTATGGCGAACCATACCTTCCTCATCCCACTTGGGCTTTGACATCTCATACTGTGGACACCTTTCTTACCCTGCTCACGTTTGACACCCCAACTTGAACAGACATTTTTCATTCTTCTCTGCCTTTGACCCACTGGACTTGTCCACTATATGAACCACTTCTCATGGTGAGGCTTTGTTACCCCATGCTGGCCTACCTTTTCTTCCCCCATCCCCCACATACATGAAGTCGTCCTCACTCTTTTTGGACTGACTTCCCTCTGCTGGACTGTTACCCTACTTCCCACACATATATCTAACTTGCTTGGCTTCACCTAATGGCTTTAGCACTAAATTGTTGAGGGAGGGCATAGTAGGAGGGAATGGAAGAGCCATCTGGGTTTTTAGAATCTGTAACTTGCTAGAATATGGTTTTATTTAGTGATGTAGAGAAAATAGTAGGAGGATCTAAGAAAAAATTTGGGAGGGGCGAGAGAGAGAGAGCCTGTGTGTGTAAACAGGAGTTTGGATTTTACAATAGTGAATTTAGGGTGACTATGGGACATGCTGGCAAAAGTAATAGGCTCAATAGAGGAGTTTGTCTGGAGATAATAGAATTGGTTGTCATTAGCTTCTATGTGATAGTTGAAACTGTTGGTTTGAAAGAAACTGCAGAGAAGGAAAGGAGCTGGCACTGGAGAACCACAACACTGCCTGAGGGGATGGTACATGAAAAGGATGATATCAAGGAAACTCTGGGACCAAGAGAGTTGTAAAGAAGAGAGGGTGCTTGTTCAACAATGTAAAAAGCTACAAAAATGGTGAAAGATCCATTGGGATTTAGCAACCAGTTAAAATTCAGTTATAGTGGAGTAAACCCCGATTGCAGTTAGTGAAGTTGAATGGAAATGAAGAATTAAATTTGGCCAATACAAAAATATGTACTATAAGTAAAAAATAGGTACTGTCATGTGGACTGAGAAATAGTGTTGTTTTGTGTCCTTTCTAGCAAAGATAGATGTATATGATGGATGAGGCATGTGAATTTAAAATTTTCAGTTCAAACTCTCAAAACTTGAATACTTGCTGTTTGTATGACAGTATTCTCCATATTGTTCATTTTGTGTTGATTTTGTAAGTGCATTTCTAAGGATTTGTTCATCCAATTTTGCAGTCTCTGGAAGATTTTCACCATAAGTTACATATATGACTTCCCAGTTATCTACAGTATAGGAACTGTGGAACTAGAATTACTCAAAGTATGTGCTTTAAAAGTGTTAAATTTTAAAATCACATATTTTTTTTATAGCCTGTGCTGAAAATACCAAGATAAAAATGCTTTTAATGACTTAGAAGATAATTTATAAATAAATGTTGATATATTTATACCTTATTCGTTTCAAACGTACTACAAATGACTTGTTTAGTGCAGATTCTAACTTTTAAAAATGTGTTTTAAGTAATTGATATATTTGTGGCGTGCTTTGAAGTTCTTCTTTGGTAGAGAAAGAATGCTCAGCACATGGCTGACTTTAAAAAGATTTAATTATTATTTACTCACTAAACAAATGTTTTGAGGACCTACTGAGCCAAGCATTTTTGTAGGTACTGAAGTTAACAGTGGTGAAAAGGAGTCTTTATGGAGCTTAAATTCTAGTGGGAAGAGGCCTCCCGTAAGCACCCTAACTGGGGGATACAGGAGGACTTTCCAGCCAACTGAGCCACACAGCCAGGGCCTAGAAATACTGTTTTTGTTTAATTTTAAATTTATGAATATCAACAGAAAATGAAAATTTATATATTCATTTCCACTGCCAAAATAGGTTAGAGAAATTCAACCCAATATATATACTACTTGAAAAAATTTTTATATGCTTTTCGATTAGATATATTCAGCCTCTTCTAATATTCCGGAATTCCTGTCTCCTGACTTTTAGCTGTGTTATTTATTTTACATTAGCTATGATTTAAATTTGTTTTTTCTGCTTGGATTTACGAGTTTTGACCAGGTTTATTTATAAGAATCTGTATTATTTTGAAAGATATTTACATGTCATACTGTAAATATGAGAGTCAGTTTAATGGCTTAAATTAAGGCACTTTATTTTCTGTTCCCCCCAATATAACACTAAGGTTACACAATGATAAAGCTTTGAATTTTTATTATTTATAATTGGTAACAGAATTATTCATTGATGACCAGTTCTGGTACTATTTTAGAAATGCCAATAATAAATTTTCTGTTTGTTGATAGGCTAACTGCTATTCTTTATGACTTGTTTTATGACCTTTGTTCTTTCATCTTTTCACTTTGTAAATTACTCTTAATATGTCATTAAACCTGTTTCAGTCTTGTAAAAATATGCCTGTTAGATTGGGCACACAAAGGGCAATTTGTTTGGGGCCTGCATAATCCCAGGCATCCCTGATTTCATATTTCTACGCATAAACGTGCAAATGAAAATGTCCTTGTCAGTGTTAGGAAAGCTAGCTTTAGATATAGTTACTAAAGCAAGATTTTGATTCTCTCTTTGAAAAAAACCTGTGTACAAGAGATTTACCTTTACATAATTGGGATATTATATATATTTCCTTGTGATTTAGGCCAGTGTTTTTCAATATCTTATTTTTAACCTACTCTCCTGTGATGGTTTTCAGTTTGTCTTTGACATATATTAGCTAGTAAGATTTTGATGACCTTTATTTTCTGGAGTTTATCTTCTGAACACAATGGATATATTTAATGTACTTTTTCTAAGGAACTCTGCTTCTAACCCTTGTTCAAAACTGATATAGTTATTTACATTTGATGGTTTCAGTCTCTGTCAAATAGAAGTTTTATATTGTGCTAGCCTGAGTTGTAAATAAGAACCACTTGACTTTTAAAAGCCACATTTAATGTATATTGCATCATGGTTTATTGATTACATTTGATCATCAAAGTCACATGCACCAAGGAAGGTTCCCTTGCTCTCTTCCTAGAGGACTATTTCATATCTCCCTCTTCAAATTTTGAATACCTCCTCTCCCAAGATCACTCTCAGCTGATGACCTTGCTTCCTACTTTAACACTTAAAAAAAAGAAGGAATGAGAAAGGAACTTCCAAAGACTCCCACCTATTTTTAACTGTTTCCATATTGAGAAATATAGTAACAAAATAAATTTAAAGTACCTGTAATACCACTCTGCTTTTTCATCTGGTACCATAAATGATGTATCTATTTTCCTAACTAAAACTAGTTCTTCCAGTTTTGAATTCTTTCTCATCCCCTTTTAACAACTAAATATCACCATTTCTTCTCTTTCTTGCTTACATTATCAACTTTTTGTTTTGTATGGGGCCATTCTTGTCATTATACAGGTATGCTACTAATTCTTCAATCTTAAAGAATCAAAAATCTTCCCTAACAATTAATTACCTGTTCCCCCTACCAATTACCACTCCCTTGTTTGTTCCCTTTTGCAGCAGACTTCTCACTTGTCCGTATCCACCATTTCTATTCTTTTTTCCCAGTATCTTTACTCTAACAAAACTTCAACTATCAAAAATTGCTCCCATTACTAGTAACTTCTGAGTTGCTAAATCCAGTGTTCAGCACTTTGTCTTCATTCCATTGACCTATCACAGTGGTTGTTATTATTTACTTTCTCCTCTTGGATATGCTTTATGTGGTTTCAAGGATACCACTTGTTCCTGATTTTCTTTCTTAATTATCTTTGTTGGTTACTCTTCTTTCAGAATGTTGAGTGCCTCAGGGATCAATTTTTGGAACTCTTCTTTTTCTACACTTATCTTTTCTAGTAATAATTAGAATTCAGAATTTCCTCTGCCCCACACTATAGCTTAATTCTTGGAAAGTGTAGATTATAGAAAATAAAATGAAATATCGCTATTTTCAAACTATCTTTCAGACTTTCTTGACCCTGTTTCAAAGCTTGCAATGAGAATTGGACCTTTGGGGGATCAACCATCTAGTGCCAAGGGTTGGAAAAGTAAATAAGACTGTTTTATCCAAATACCATTATGATATGATTAGTTACCCTTAAGGTGTGATAGAAATGGATATTTATTTCTTATATCTTACAAACTTTAAAGATATTTAAAGTAATTTTATATGAACTTGTGTAATGTGTTGTCATTATTTGAACATGTCCACATACCTTCAAAGAATGAAATTTAAGAATAAACATTATGGAAAGTTTCTGTCAGATCAAATTTTAGAATCTATGTTAAATATAAAGTAAATATGCTTGATATATAAAATTTGAGAAATAGGTAAAAAATAAATTTAAAGCACCTATAACCACTGCCTGAATGCAGTTTACATTTTGAAATATTGTCTTCTAATCTTTCTGTAGTTTAAAAATCGTGCTGTGATCATATAATTTCCTGCATTTTGCTCTTAGCATAATATAATATTATAATTATATTATAATATAATATAATTATAATATGATATGATATGATGTAATATAATATAATATAATATGCATTCATGTTTTCACAGTTTTTAAAATGAACATTATGTTTAGGAATTGCACTCTATCCTATCTCATGGATTCCTTTGTCTTGAACATTGAGGTTTTGCTTATTTTTATTGACATTTATTATTATTATTATTTTTTTTGCTTTTGTGGATAAAGCTGCAGTGAGTATCCTATGCATAATTTTTTTTTCTGTTTTAGGATTACTTCCTTAGGATAGATTGCCAGAAGTGGAGTTACTGGGTCAGAGGGTATGGTCTTATGAACTTTTTTCCTTTTTTAAAAATAATTTTTTTTAGTTTATTTGCTATCCATTTGATTTGTATTCATTGTGAAAAGTAAAACTCATAATGACTGTATTTGGTACCTGGCAGAAAATTGTGTCTAAAGGCAAGGTTCTGTAATCAGAGAAGTTTGGGAAATTCCTAGGGTGAAAAAGCCTTTTTAACTTGGCTTACCTCAGCATTTCCTGAACTTAACTGAGCATTGGATGGTTTTTTTGCGATATACTTTGTAACATTTTGTGGAAGTTTTACAAAAGATAAAGTTTATGAACCACTGATCCAGAATTTCAAATTGCTTTTAGTGATCAAAGCAACCCAATCTTCATTCTAAAATTATTTTTAGAAAGGAGATTAAAATAAAGCTGTTTACTATGTGATTTTTGGGTATGTCTTTATAAAGTCTCATAAGTTTTTACAATTTAAATTTTCTATATCGGTTCCTAAGCAATACGTTAATGCCTCAGTAGAATCCAATACTTTTTATAATATTTAATAAAATTTGTAATATAGACATAAAACATAAAAGTAGAAGATAAAGTATATTGTACAAACCTTTTTTTGTCCCCCTTCGTTTTCCCCTACAGAATGTGAAAACCTTTGCATCTTCTGATAGTCTAGCCAAGGTCCAAGAAGTAGCAAGCTGGCTTTTGGAAATGAATCAGGAACTGCTCTCTGTGGGCAGCAAAAGACGACGAACTGCAGGCTCTCTGAGAGGTAACCCTTCCTCAAGCCAGGCGGATGAGGAGCAGATGAATCGCGTGGTGGAGGAGCAGCAGCTAAGGCAGCAGGAGGAGGAGCACGCCGCGAGGAACGGCGAGGTCGTCGGAGCAGAGCCTAGGCCTGGAGACCAGAATGATTCCCATCAAGGACCATTGGAAGAGAACAATAACCGCTTTATTTCAGTAGATGAGGACTCCTCAGGAAACCAGGAAGAACCAGAGGAAGATGAAGAGCACGCTGGGGAGCAAGAGGAGGAGGAGGAGGAGGAGGAGGAGATGGACCAGGAGAGTGATGATTTTGATCAGTCTGATGACAGTAGCAGGGAAGAAGAACATACGCACAGTAACAGCGTCACAAACTCCAGTAGTATCGTGGACCTGCCTATTCACCAACTCTCCTCCCCGTTCTATACAAAGACAACAAAAGTGAGTATATTTAGTCTGCTGTGCACTCAAGAAATTTTACATATCTATACTAATTGTAATAAAACTTCTCAACCTTTGTATTATTGCAAAATTATTCTTCAGATGTGTAATAATAAAATGAACTAATTCTTATTTTACAGAAGGTATTAGAAAATATGAGAAATAGAAATACTGATAATGGGACAGTCTTATTACAAATGGAGGGAAGGTAATTGATCATTTATTATGATGAAAAATCATCAATATCAAATTTTACTACAAATTTTTTCCCTGGGACAGAGGTTAGTAGGTTGTGTGCAGTGGAGAGGGTTGGGGTGAAACATGATTTGTGTAAATCAAGTAGTAAGAATCTTTTTTTATCTGCAAAATGCAGCCTGTGAGGTGGCTGTATATTCACAGGTGTTACTCCAAGGCACGAGTTACTGGAAGTTACCTCAAATTCACTTTCTTATTATGATGATTAAAACTTATCCTTTGTAAATAGTCTTCTCTTTATTATCTATTAAGCAAAGTGAGACTACAGCCTGAATATAAATATTCAGTTGTTGGTGAAACCTGAGTTGGCATTTATAAAAGTTATAAAGTACTAGACACCAACATTTAAGGTTAATCATTTTTGCTACGTTATGAAACGACAAGAATTCATGGTGCTATCTTCACTGCTTGCTTCCCTCCAGATTTTATTATAATTTCAAGATTCAGGAACACCAGAATCACTGGTTTTTCTTTCTGCCTCCATTTCAGTGGAACACTTTTTATTTCTCAAAGGGATTTGAATATTGACCATTGGGTAACAAATCATTTTGGTTAATATTTGACCGTGAGAGGTAGGAGGAGATGATTTGAAGAGGTTGAGATTTCCAACTTCCTGTCGAGTTTCTGCTACTCCTTCCCTTGCCTGCAGTGTTACTTTCCCTTCCCATTCCTGGGAGTTAGTCTCTGTTGTATCTGCCTCATCTCATTTAGCTAGTGGTAGCACCTGGAGTTAACCGTAGACATATATCAAAAGATGGACAGTTAGACTCCGCACTAAACTGGAGGAATCTTATCAACTCAGGGACCTGGTGATTAGTCTAGGCTGAGAAAAACAGTTCCATTGGATACAGTCCTTTGAGGCTCTGCCAGAGATCAGGGCCTGGAATACACTAACCAGTCATATTGTCACTGCTACTGGATAGGTAGGGAGGTGCTGAAATGTTGAAGTCTGTCTGAGCTGGAGGGAGGAAGTGATTGGGCGGCTGCAGTAAATTTGGTCTTCCCAGTGCTTGTTCTTTGGGGTTCTTTCCTCAGAACATTTCCAGATACTGTATCACTTAAAATTGTGGTTATGACCAGGGGTGGGAGTTGTGGAAAGAAAGCAGCAGCATTATTTGTCTCACCACCCAGTCTTTCTGTTGTACCCTCCCTTCCCATCCCCATCAACATACAGTCAAAATGAAATTGCATGGTGTCTGGGCTTTGCTTCAGAGTAGTACTGAAGGGGGGAGAAAAAGGGGAAAGGTTTAGATTGGTTGTGAGTTGCTGGTTGTTGGAGAGGGATTACAGGGACAGGAGGGTTCATGGGTATTATTCTCTGTAGTTTTTCAAGTTTGTTTAAAGTTTCCCATAATAATAAAATATGTTTGTTGTAAAGAAAGTGAATACACAGACACACAGACACACACACACACCCCCCAATCATAACCAAAACTGAAATGGGAGTTTTCTTTATATACCTTGGTCTTACTGACTAGCTCTTAAGTAAGTGCTGACTTTACCTCTGCATTGAATTTTATTTTCTCTGAATTTTGATGTTGTTGAGATTATAGGAAATTTAATAAGACATTGTGTATTTTTTGCTGGAGTTAGAATTTATTTATTTTCTGTTTTTTGAAATCTATCTTTATTGTTGAAAGTATTACACATATTCCCTCTTTTCCCCCCATTGATCCCCTCCACCCCACATCTGCCTCCCCCCCCGACCTTCCCCATACTGTTGTCAGTATTTTAGGCAGTGTTGTTATCTATCTAATGGTTTATTCAAAGAGGAGAGAAAGTAAAATGAATTATACTCAATGAATGAGGTATGTAACAACTTCTGTCCTACCTCCGCCCCGCTGGCCTTCAGTGCCCATAGATCTTTATGTTTGCATGCTTTCTGGTTCTTTTATCATTTGAAAATTAGATAAAAATCATGAATATCCATGTAGAGTAGACTTATGAGTTAAACAATTCTTTGGAAAGGAACATTTTAACTTGAATAATAGCTTACTTATTTTATAGACATTAAAATAAGTAACATCGGTAGTAGTTTCTCCATTTTTAAAAAAATCCTCAGCCTAGGATATGTTTATTGATTTTTTTAGAGAGAGAGAAACATTAATGTAAGAGAGAAACATTGATCACCTGCCTCCCACATGTGCCCTGACTGGGATCAAACCCTTAACCTAGGTATGTGCCCTGACCAGGAGCCTAACCCACAACCTTTTTGGTGTAAGAGATGACGCTCCAAGCAACTAAGCCTCCCGGCCAGGGCTGTAGTTTATCTCCTATTTGCTTATCTTTAAATTTTACAGTGAACCATTGTTTTAACCCATAAACAATATACAAACAGATTTAACATCATCTCTTTTAACCTTACTTGACCTGGAATGATATATCTTAGACACTTAATTTAATACTTTGAATTGCTATGTCATTTTTTCATCAGCATGTGAAACTAAAACTTCTAAAACATGTTTATCCCCAATTTCCCTAGCCTTTCTGCAAGTTCAGATATTATTTAGATGGTTTGATCTAAGAAGGAACTACCTGAAGGCATTTTATCATCCCCCTCTCCAGGTGTTGAAGCAGTGCTTTGAATCTCAGCCCCACGGCTCTAACACTAACAGCTGTAGCCCTGCTTTGTTGGTAAGGTTCAGACCTTTCATAGTGCAGATTGCCCAGCTTTTAGCCCCAACTCTTGATCTCTCTCCTTCAAGGTTACTATGCCAAAGAGGGAGTTTATATCGTTCCTCTTTTTTCTGAGGGTTCAGTTGAAGGAATGGGGGTTTAGTATTTAATTGCATTATCTTATTTAAGAAAAATTTAATGAAAACTAAGCCTTGTTGAACAGTGCAAAGCCACCAATGATTTCTGCTACATTTTAAATTACAAACAAGAAAGCCAGCTAGACAAAATAGATCTTTTTCTAAATGGAGAAGTTGTCATAGAGTTCAGTGGGAAAACTTCAAGCACACAGGTTTGACAGATGCTTTCTTTATTTTTCCCCCTGAAACTGTAAATGGAACTTTTAGATATGTATTAGAACCTCCTTAAAAACAAACTATGCTGAACTTAAGTCATTTTGGTGACTCTTGAGTTGTGAATACAAATTATTGTTTTATACATACAAGCTCACAGGCGTATACTGAATACTGAGAGCAGAGATAGATGTGTGTATGCATTTATATGTCGTGTACATATACACATACACATGAACGTGTGTATATATGCTTTTGATTTATTGTGTATCTTGAGGTCATTTGCCTCCACAAATATGGCAAGAAGAATATAAAAACTATTTGATTGTTAAGGCAGCAGTGCCCTTCTATGTAGGTAGGATTTTCATCTGAAATTGGCCTGTTTTTGTCCATTCCCGAAACTTCTTCATATCATTCCTAGAGTACTTTATTTTTTTTAACAACATTTAAAAAATAATACTTATGATTGTGTTGCTTAAAAAGAAAATGTTAGTCACCCATGTGTATAAATATGTTTAATATAGTAAATAGGGAAAAGCTCACTCTATTTCAAATGCTTTATTTTGAAGCAGCTTTAAATTCTTGATCATTATATACATAAGACACTTCTACAAACAGTACCCTAAGCCAGTTTTAAGGCTTTAAACTGACTTTTGAGAAGAGTACATGTATAATAATTATTTTTTAAATCCCATTTTTAAGGTTACTATGGGATTGGCCTTCTACTGTTTCACCCAGTGTTCCTTTCAAATTTTATTTTTTGGCAGTTTTCTTAACATACCCTGTGGACAGCTAGACTGATTTGTCATTCCTGAACATGCCATATATGCAAATATGATATTAATGAAAAAATCATTTTTGGTTCTTCTTTGCATTGTCTGTTTCTTTGAAAACTATCAAAACTCTTAGGACAATCTTTTTTTCCTTAGTCACCAAAGATTTGTTCTTATGGGAGCTTATGGTAATAATATACATTAGAAAGTTCAGACTGTCTTAATGTTAAAAGTCAAGGGTAGTATCAGTCAAGAATTGGTGTTTATTAAGCCCATACTGTTTGAAAGTTCCTATGACAGGTAAGGAAGTAGAAGTTATAGAGGGACCAAATTATTTACCCCCAAATCACAGTGACAAGAGATTTAATCTAGATCTGCTTAATTTTTTAAAACACACACCCTTTCTTTCCATGTGCTATGCTGCCCCCTAGGTAGAATTTGGCAAACATTACTAAGATTTTCAGCAGAACTACAAGTAAGTCTATATAGGCTCTAGATTCTGGAGTACGGTGGCTTTCTAATATGTCACACTTGAAATCACCAAGCTACCCTCTAGAAAATACAGAGCTCAGTTAAGTGCTTTTCTTTGTGTACTGGACAAACAGTATTGAAGATATGAGGGCTCAAGGCTCAAGTTGTAACAGGAAGATATGATAATGGAATTTGAGACTGGATAACAGATATCACTCTCTCTAGAGTTTATCAAATGTGCTTTTTAACTAGGGGTTGTATGCTGGCTTTTTCTGTCATTTGATTAGTCTGCCTATAAATTCTAAAGTCAATTTGCTTCCCCAGATAGGAAGGCCCATCTCATCAGTTTTAACTCCCTCTGTCAACAGCCTTATCACATTAAAGAATAAATAAATAAATAAAACTTGTTTTCTGAAGAGATGCCTAGCCCATACTAAAGACTCATTTTATATGTTTAATGCAGAGTAACAATTCATTTTCACTAAAATGAAAAGCAAATGAGATTACCATTATACTAGACCTTCTTATCCTTCTG